TTAGACGCTAATTTAGAAGACTCCAGTAGCATTCCTCAAGCAATGATCGCCTTCAATGGCTTTTTAACTAAAATACAGCAAAAAAGGGAACCGATCAGTTGAGCCACATAGTATCATTATCTGAAGCAGTTACCAATCCGGGTAAAAACACTGTTATCTTGACGGTGCACAGGATTTGCAGCTTTCTGAAATTCATGGCAGGCTTGGTACCATAGTAGGATCCCCTACACCAGCTGATGCGGTAGAGGCAGTTCTTAGAGTGGCAATACAGCTATCAGAAGGTCTTAAGAAAAAGAACTTCACTCTTAACATTGAGACAAGCAACATTGGGGGTGAGGCTTAATAGTCCCAACTTTCAGTGGTGGGAGAGCAAGTAGTGGTGCAGTAGCCAGAGCACTACTATGTGCTGAGAGCTCCTAGTTGTAGTGGAGACAACCCCAATTGACTGAGGTTCCAAATATGAACCCGCAGTGATGCGTCTCTGTATAGACCACATAGGGGTGGAAGGAACCGAAGAAAAGATGATGTCCTAAATTGTTAGCTTTGTCTGGCTAATACCAATCAGCTTATAGGTCCTTGAGTAAGGAAGATGGAAAGGAAGTAGCTAGGAGACATTGCAACTTTGTGAGAGCTGGCAATGACCAAGGTGATAGATGACCTAGCGGCTAAGGAGCTTTGATCTTGTCAGCTGGATGGCCGAAATGTGGGGCTGGTATTGCATCAGTTGGAGGAAGGTCAGCAACCACACCAGGAACAGCTGCAGCCCTAATCCACTCCCATGAAGCTCCTTTTTGCACAGTGGCCAGTTCAGAGGTACATCTGGCGCACATATGGGTATGAATGGGACATTATGGGGATCGCTAAAATACTCTTTTACCTCAGGCACTTCAGGGATGACATGGAGGGTATTTGCCTTCTGCATTACGTCATACCTCGAAGAAGGTGGCCCCTTAGGCAGTCTCATGGCCCACTGCGTCAACTCGGAAGTACAGTGCTTGGCGCATAGTGTGCTGGAACAACTGCTACATTCTTACGGCTATGGACTATTACACTAAATGGCTCGAGGTGTTGCTACTCTCTTGCTACTCAAGCTCTCCATCCTCTATAGCTCTATAGCTCCTTACCTCACCAGGCAGGACCGTTAAATAGCCCGCAGTGCAGCAAGAAACTGAACCCTCAGCAATCTGGCGTGCCAGCTTAAAATGGCTTCAAAGGTTCAGCCCTGAGACAGCGTACTCAGGAATGATGTCATTCCCACTCCGAGGATCTATGAGTATAAGAGGCCAGCAGGTACTGTAGTTTAGCATTATTATGGTGGGTGGCTGAGATGCTACTTCATTAGCATGGAATTATGGCACTATAAAGGCTTTGCCTGCATCTGCCTGGTTTTATTTTGAGTGTTTGTGGGTATGCTATGCAGCCTTTCCATTATGCACATTATGCCTATTTGTCATTAATTTATTCTTTGGTTTCCATTTTAAAGGGTTTTGTTTACAGCCTTTTACTAAAGTAAGTCAAACACGTTCTCTGTCTTCGCACCTTTTCACTTTGCCAGTGGGGCATTTGATGTAAACAGTTGCAGGTGGGCTCCTGTGAGTCGGAATGATGGGAGGGGCTTACCCCAGGACTTCCCCATCCCCGAAATCTCGATGAAAACATTGCTGTCCCCGCCTCGACACTGCATCATGTCGCTGCTGCCGACGAGAAAGATAGCAACATAGACTGTTTTTAAGCCAGGACACATTATACAGCACCTGCATACAATATAAACTAAAAACCAAGATCAGATAGACAGAGTTCAGATGTCAAAGCATATCTGTGTCCCTAAAAGCTGTTAATTTTGCTGTCTTTTTTAAGATGGCTTTTTGTGGTTTGTCACTATGTTGACAGGTTTATTCATTCCCAGGACAATATTAGTGTGTCAAATACAAAATCTCTTAGCTATCTAAAATCATACCTCATCCACTGACACCGGAGGGGGTAGCTTGCTTATGGAATAGTTACAGTATGACATGTACAAGAAATAGGCAACGGTCATTCAAGATGCAGTACACAAAAAGCAGTTCTTGGCTCTGTCTCGTAAAATTACGTAGTATGTAGTTTATCATTTATCCTTCATAAGCTTCATTTGTATTTATTTCCAATAATTTGGACCGTATTGACCATCAGTGCAATGGGGGACATATCAGCTTTTAAATGAATGATTTCTTATTTCCTGAATCATCTAATGTATGTTCTTTGGCAACAACGTAATAAACATTGATCATGATAATTATTACCTAATAGTATGCCGTTTGTGTTTTATTTTGCTCGAATGTCCGGTCAACTGCATTAAAGGCTATATCGTGGTGTATTTTTATGGGGAGCCACTGATTTCTGTGCCCTCTTAGACACCAAATTAAAGGGCTAATGTCCCAGTATTGATTTTTTGCTTCTTTAATTTGCTGCTTATTTATGGATGTATGTCTTTTCCCTGGGAGGATAATGATGCAGAAACACATAAAGTCTCAGTTTCTGGGAAGACTATTTTTCCACAGGAGAACCTCACTATTATTTTACTTTTTCTTACTTTGATGTAATACTTACATACACTTACAGATTTTGAAACGTGCAAGTATACCAATTGAAGTATGTTCATATCAGTGTATGACTGTGACTGTTTATATGCGTATATAATAGCAACCTTTAATCTGTTTAATGGTCTATAAAGGCTTAGGTGGTAAATACGTCGGCAGCCTGGTTCAATTTAATGGCCGTTACGTTGCCCATCTGGTCCACATGTATTTATTGAAGGACAGGTTTCAAAATGGAGACGGCCCAGCTGCTAGCATTTAAAACCGCGGCAGCATAGCAGGGCACTGACAGCCGCCAGTTTTCAATAAAATAGTTCAATAAAATAAATAGCTGAGCAGTCCCTAAGCGAGCCTGGCTTCAGGAGGCTAGTAATGTGGCTTTTTGTTTTGTTCCGCCGAAACACGTTAATTGTACAATGGCATACAATGCTGGCTGTAGGCTTGCACATTAACTATGAGTCTGTTCATGGTGAGACATGCAGTGTGGGCGGTGGAAGATGCTGGCAGACTGTGCAGACCGTGCAATTTCCTCTGTGAATGACTCATAAAAACATAATAAATACAATTAAGCACCCGTGATTACTGCGCGATTATTTATTTCCTATATTCGCAGAATATTGTGGCGTTTTTGGGGAAATGTATACAAACTATATGACAGTCACAGAGCTACTAACAAATATTAGTCATTAACTGCTAATTGCGTCAATTAGATGATGGGAAAGGATTAAATTAAAGCAATATTTCATGTTACTCTCAAGGTATTTATGTAAAATTCCTTCGTTTTCCTGTTCAGTTTGACTTCCTCAGGTTTCATGTGACATTTAACAAGGAGTATAATATAAACTGAACAAGCAGTAAGAGGAAACAAAATATGATTATTAAGAATAATTATAAGCACCCTGTCTTTCATTAATACAGTTTTTCATTTCTGCACTCTGCAGAAATGAATGAGGGAGATAGTGGATAGAAGTCACCCCCTTTATGAAGCCCATATCCATTCATTTGACCGTGGTAATTTACTGTGGTGAATGCATGAGGCATAATATTATCCAGCAGAAGTAGCACTCAGTCCACACTGGTCAAGGCTACATCTTCTGACTCTCTCAACATCTTTGTTTGCCAGCTTTTCCTCTCCCCTGACTCCTGAAGGTTCATCTACGCTGGTCGCGACCTCTCAGCTCTCTCTCCTCCTTGATGGGTGACTGGCTTAGAAAGAGGAGGAGGATTCAAGCAACGGGGCAGAAAGAGGAGGTGCGGGGAGGATTAGCAGGAGGAGGAAGATGGATTGAAAAGGTTGCATGGACGACAGAAACCATTCAGCTTCGCAGCAGCTAAGCGTGGGCCCGGAGTTTGCGAGGAAAGGAAGAAAATTCCCACATTGTTGTGCTCGTCAAATCTATGCTTATTAAATCTACACTATTTTCAGCTTGTCACACAATTTATGTGATAAATGAAAAAGCGAGTAAATGGACCTGATCTGGTTTGCAGATAACAGTCAGATTCATCCGGAGGTGCGTGTCCCTCTCAATGTTTTCAATAATTCCCCTTAAATCTTGTCCACCAAAGTCTTGTTCAGCTTGAAACCTCAATGCTATGCGGCGTTAATGGGCACGCCCTGCCTTTGTCCTGTGCTGACTGTCTGTTGCTGGATGTGGGAGGTGCGGCGAAAGATCCAAGCTCAGCTAATGGCAGGAGGCAGTGACTGCAGGCCTCTAATGATGGGAATGCTCATCGAAGCTGCCATCTTGTCTGGCTCGTCTGCACTGTTCGCTGCAAGTCATCTCTGACTAACCACCTTTGTGTCCCACCGCGACGGCGATGGGGAGCGCGGCGTCACACAACTGTACCCTTGATGTTATTTATAAAGTCATCATTAACTGCACTGGTTTGGCATGTACTTGGCCTCGGCGTCTCTGGTTCCCGTGGCCTGCATCCGTTATGTTTGTCACAGCGCTCGTGAATGGTATCTTACTCAGTCTACATGTGCTTAGTATTTGTTAATAGAACCACAAAAGACTTGTTTTATGGCAATGGGCAGTGGCTGTTAAAAGAGTGCTGCAAAACTCTGTCTGGATAAAAAGGATACTGCGGTGAAATGTTTTTGGGAAAGCCTGTGAATACATTTTTGTATATGCACATGTCCCTTATTAGGTGGATGGATGGATGGATGGATATTTAAATGTTAAAGGCACAATGATATAATATTTCTGTCTATGAAATCAACATAATATCAACATAACACCTTTCAGAATATCTTCCTTAAACAATATATAGCAACAAATATAAACCCTAAATTTCTTGTTTTTCATATGCTGCCCCATATAAATATGTCTGTTACAGCTGTAAATATCCTGGGCTACTCTGACTTTGTCAAAAATTACTTGTGCGTCTAGTGCTTGAAGTGTGAAAAAACATGCCAGTACTCACCATGTTATTCACTACCGGTACCTCATGAGAAGTGCCAGTACGCAAGATTCCTTCCCGGTTCTCTGGAGAGGAAAACAAAGAGCTACCGCTTGTCTATACCAAATAAGGTGATTACACACCAGATCCCTTTAAAACAGCATTTATCAATAAATTGAAAATAAACAACCAAACAAACAATCAGATGAAAATCGGTTACACTTCAAGCTCTCACCTATACTGTAGATACATTCATAATGCATTTTAATTGTCGGCATTAGAATGAATAAAAAAGCTTTACAGGATCTTCTATGGACAGTCATAATAGTGTTGATTATAATACTTCATAAGCTCTAATGAAGCTCTCATTTATAATACACTATAGATATCTTCATAATGTATTATTATGGTTAGTATTTAAGGATGCTTTATACTGCATTATGAAGGTATTTATAGTGCCTCATAAACAAGAGCTTCATAGAGCATTCATAATTCATAATAAACATGCTTATAATGTATTGTGCCTTTTTTATAAATATTTATAGCCATGTTTATAATGCTTTATAATGTTTTATGAATGTGTGCATAGATTCTTATACACATGGCACTCATGAAAAGTGTAACAAAAAAATTCCCTTTCTTTCTCTATTTCTAAGAATACTTCTTGATTGTGGATTGTAATCCACAGCAAGTTTGCTGAGTCACAGCAGACCGCACAGCAAATATCTCTGATGAGGCATTGTCTTACAGCCTGTCGCACAGGACTTGAGAACAAATATCAGTGCTGGTGACAATCGACAAAGGACAGTGCTTGAAGAAGAAAAAAAGAACTGACCTTCCTCCAACTTACAATTTGTTATAATATTCAATGGCAATAAAAAGAAAAGAATGAAAACCTGTGTCTGTTACAGATGTGCCTCCGGGTATTCTTGAAGAAACCTTTTTTATTCCAGATGTTGCTCTGTCATCTGTGAGGTGATAGATACAGATATCAGTGTGACAGGCCATTAAACGTGCAGGCGTAATAAGCCATGCACAATTTGCAGATGATAAGGAGTGATGTAACCAGTCCGTCTCCGAGGTACCCTGCAAATGAACACTAATGTAGCAGGCAGTGTCAGTGCCCAGAACCATCCATCACCTGGCTACCTTCACTTCTTTAGTGAAACATCTACACTCCACAGCTGTTAAATATGTTATAAATGTAGACATATATATATATATATCATTGAGTAGCCAGCCACAGCTACAGCAGTGCCCCCTTCCTAACCCTGTGAGTGAGCTCCCCCCCATACATTTTCATATACTTTTTCTCATTAATGAAAGTCACATGTTTGTTATTATGTGGTCAATCAAGGCAATATATTGAAAGCGTGCATCTGGCTGGGTTAACATTATGACCACGGTAAGGTCCAGATCATACCATGTTTGTCTTTCCTCTGTGCCAAGCAGTCACACATTTATGCTTCTTCAAAATGGATTGAAGTAACATTGAAAGCACCATGTAAGGTCCTCCTATATCTTGTAAAAGCTATGAATGTATTCCAAGCGATATCGATTTTTTTGTGCTCCAGTTCTGTATTGTTACATGTATATCATCCATCCATCTTCCAGTTATGTATCTTGGATATGATTTTGGGGAGCCTGGTCACACAGGACAGATGGCAGGGGGACACCATAGATGGGATGCCAGTCCATCACAAACGCACACAAAATTTACCCTAACCGCATGTCTCTGGACTGAACCCATACACTGTAAACAGACAACACCCACACAGCACAGGGTGAATACGCAAACTCCACACACAGAGTCAAGGATGTGAACCAACAACCCAAAAGGTGTGAGGGGACAGCCCTATGCAAGAGCTACCCTTAAAGCTTGCCTTGATACTGTATGTTTTTTCTATATTTACGAGTTCCTTTTCTCTTCCTTAGTCAAACATTCTCTCTGAGTTCTTACATCATCAGACAACCATTGATGAGATTGTTGCATTTGTGTTGTTTTGTATTTTTACCGTTATTTTGTTCTTTCATTTTACTTAAATATTTAAAAACATTCTGTTTATGAAACAAATCTGGGTATGAAAACACTTTATTTGTTTTTTAACTGAGGAGCTATTCTGAATAAAGGGCAGCTTTTTCTAAGCAGTTTTTTCCTTGCTGTGGTAGGAACGAGTTTGTTTTACAATAAGCTTGCGTGTGATTCCTGAACCTACCAACAAAAAACACAAATTGTGGCTGACAAAATATTTACTGAAGGGATTTAAGTGAAGAGCAGTAAGACTACAAAGCTTCTTTAGCATAAGGGTCAATTTGGTTTTACTCTGCGTCTGTCATGCTCGCTAAAGCCCCATGAATTATGGATGCTACCGGTTTTATTTTCTACACATCAATACTCATCCTGCCAGAAACCCTCTGATACTGTACTCCATACATGCCAATATGAGCTACCTATGCCCGCTTTCAGCTGATGCCAGTGGACATCACACCTATTTACTCCAAAGTTGACATGCATGCGACATATTTATCTCTAGCTTTGGGTGATTGTAAGCATAAACACAAGAACGCAGATGAATAAATGCAAATCAGTACAAGCAAATGATGTCTGCAGATATTTATGAAGGCGGTAATGGTGCATTTTAAAATAATAAATGTAGCAAGACTGGTTGAATTAATACATGCGTCACATACTCAAGTGGTATTTATGACTTACCACCATTGATACTTGTCATGTATAACATTATTGGCTCATTGGTTGACAATAATAATCCTGAGGAAGTATCAGGCCCAAAATAGAGGCATTCTTTGTCCAAGCCTTCATTAGCTAAATCAGGCAAATCAATCTAATACATAATTATAACAGCTGTGCAAAATTAACTGAAGTAAAAGTCATAGCATAAAAACAACGGCAATTATAAAGCTAACCGAAGACTCTGAAGCATTGCTCCTTTAATCTTCTTCCATAACAGCCCATTTACAGTGTTAAACGTCCACACTTGACGAACATAAATCTCACACAGTAGTACTTCCAAGAATGCTTCAGTCATAATTATTGCAGGATTTGATAAGTGACAAAAAAGTTCCAAAGGGAAAAAAAGGAAAAATAAAACTTGACCGGGCCGTTTGTTTTATTGCTTGTTGGCCCATTTCAGGACTCATTAAGAGCATATGAGCGCCCCCGCAGTTTGAGGAATTTCTGAGATTTCTGCCATGGTTAATAACATTGTCACCTTTGTTCCTTTGGCGCAGGCTGAAGGGATGACATCACCCAGCTAGCAGCAGTAAAGAGACTGATTGGTTCATCAGTGTGCTTGCCAGGAGTGTCACTGCGGGCTGCTTCCACCACATTCTACGGCCCACTATCAAAATAACTATGTTTTCCCATATTCCGTGATACATGTCACTTGCAAATGCTCCTCTACCTGCTGAGACAATGGTGCTTGTTTCTATTAAAATAAGAACCATTTTCCAAGCTTTGTTTTTCCATTCTTTTGATTTTTAGAAAGGAAAAGTGAGAGAGTTGCAATGATATTAAAGTGTAGTGATTCTATTACGTGATTGAGTCATTTATACTAAACTTATACTAAATTTATAGATCATTTCTTTCAAATATGTAATATTATGTATTGCTTATATGTATACTGTTTTGGTGAATTTAGGGTAGTTGTATTAAAAAATATAACCAAGGGTATACAGGTTCATTTGTCATATTCTGTAATAATAAATAAACAAAAGCACAGTCAAGGTTTCACGGCTCATAGGTTTAAACATATGTATTCCGACAGTATTTGGCTATAAGCACTTTCCATCAGGGACTAATATATGTAAGCTTTGCGAATGTTATTTTGAGTGTGCCGAATGTGCTTGTGTACATTTTCACTGTACTGTACATTTCAGAATTTAATATATCAGAACATATAATACCAGTATGTAACAGAATGTACATACTGGAGTATTTGCACAAAAATTCAGTTTGATTTGGGATAACAGAACACATAGAGTACAAGTTAGCTGTATGTTAATTGTAAATGGAAAGAAAGCAAACAGCATATAAGGTGACAGTAGTGAAGCTGTAGTTGAGTATTGTTTAAATTCCAAAATACTCATTTCCCGAACTCCAGAGTATACATTACGGCATCGGCCCATGTGTGCTGAGCCACTCTAGGTTTTGGAATCAAGCCCAATGAAAAGTCATTCTATGCTGCATTGGGCTGACTGGAGAAAGGGGTCGAGCAATTCAAGTGTAGCTGTTAAATATGTGACAGGAAAAGTGAGAAAGTCTCTGTTATGGCAACAAAACTGGATATTGTGAAGACATGTGAATTTTATGGGTGTTACTGACATAGGTAACTATGAGGATATTGTTCTGAAGCTATCAAGCTGCAAAATCGCACATAGAGACTTTATAACCAATGTTTTTTTTTTCTCAGATTATGTCAGCAGATAATTTCCTGGTTGAAACTTCACTAATTAATTTATGTAATGCATTGCTACTTCAACTGTAAATGGTAGCATTATTTGTGAAACATGTCGTAATACATAAAAGCTGTGAAAAATTCCACTATTATTAAATATATATATATATATATATATATACTGTACATCCTAGGTATCCTTTTGCCTTGTGTCATATATTCTTCCTGAGATGGACTCCAGGTTCACCATGATAGTGTAACACCAAAACCATTTGGATGGATGGATGGATGGATTTTAAAGGTTACATGAGAAAATACCTTGTGCATATCCTGTGGTCTCCACGACACTCACCAGGAAAATAAAAAAATAAAAAAAAAACGGTGGGAAAATGAAGTTAGTGATGGTGTCCTCTGGTTTATAACTAGTTTTACTTGACAGTTGTTTACTTTTATAATTGTCATCACTGTCATATTGAGAAAGCTCACTTTATCAAAATACTCAAATAAGCCAAAAACCACATTTTGTGGGCATTTTTTTTACTTCCCAGAGCATCTCGGTCTGACCCCCCTAAAGCAGTGTGACCCCTCTCTTAGTCGTCATTTTGGGGAGGCAAGAAAACATGATGGATAACAGGCTTTTACAGTTCTGGGGCAAAATGGTTTCCGTCATGTTAAACACCCACAAAGTATCCATCCTTGTTGAGAAATACAAAGTGACCATTAGATATCTGCTGTTGATATCATTATATCAATGTTTTGAGGATTAAAAAGACAGATTATAGAACTCCATGTTCTCTTTGTGTTTTAAGCTGTTTGGTTTCTTTGAAGCAGGAAGATCAAGAAAGACCATGATCATATATCAATTCATTCATTTCTCCATCAATCTTCAGTATATGCTTAACCCTATAGGGTCATAACTGTCTGGAGGGGTTTGCGGTTCACCAGAGCCACAAGTCTTCTTAAATTTGGTACGAGGACCTATATCCATAGGAAAAGGGTAAGAAAACTCCAGCCAAGGACGCATGAATGAAAGAACATTTCCACACCTTCTTGGTTATATACACATTCATTGAGCCATATATAACACATGTGATAATAAGAAGCTTGACAATGACAAGCAAAAAGTTTGTTCAATAGCCTTGAAATCTTATATAGTTTCATTTTTCAGCTAAAAGGAAGGATTTTAGTTCTAGCCTCTGAAATGTCTGGGCAACTTCCAATATGATGGAGGAAGAAGAGTGAACGTACGACAAAATGTCAGACCAAGGCCAAAGATAACGTCTCGGAAGCAAACGTGAATTGTGTTATTTATGTATTTACTTAGAAATTTGCAGGAAATAGTTTCAGTTAAAACAATATTGTTAATAACATTCAACAATAAGGAACAAAATACAAAATGACTAAGATAGGAGAAAAGGGTTACACTTTCTGTGAGACTCTCATGTATAATGTATTATGGGCACCTTCATAACGCATTACATAAGATCTGTAATGTACGGTATTAGTAGTCTTTGAAACAGGTTTCAGTGAATGATTATTTTTGTTTGAAATAAAATAGAAAGCCCTTTGTGACACAATTGAGCCTTTCATGTTTTACATTTGTGCTTCACATTTGCCATTTGGAATTCATTGAAGACCATTTCAAACATATTATAGCTAGCTATAGGTTTGTAGATATACTTTGTAGATATGTATGTGTCATTACTTTACGTGAAGCAGACAATAAACTGTTATAAATGCATTATGGGATGTGTTTGTATTTTGATCACAAAGAACAGCAAGGTATATATATTAGAATTAGGTGATCAGTGTTCATCGTTAACACGCCACAGCACAAAGTGCACAACAATGAAATGTGTCCTCTGCATTTGACCCATATGTGACTTTTCGTGACAGCAGGGGGCAGCTAATTCAGCGCCCAGGGGCGGAACATCACTGGTCGGGGATACAAACCAGCAATATACCCTGAGATGGGATGGCGCTCCATCCTAGGTTGTTTGCTGCCTTGTGGCCAGAGGCTTCGGGATGGGCTCCGGACCCCCCGCGACTCTGAATAGGACAAGTGGTTACAGAAAAAGGATGGATGGACTATAAGCAGTTATGATGATGGAGCTTATGAAGTATTATAATCAACACTATAATGCTTTATGAATGTCACCAGAAGATTATGTAATGCTTTATTAATTCTTATACTATGCATTATAGATGATTTATAACGCATAATGAAGGTGTCCATAATGCATTATAGATGAATACTTCATAGACAGTTACCAAAAAGAATTTGAAAATATCTGACGATTGCTGCTTTTTACTTTTTATGTACAGATGTAAAAGTTATAATGTCATACTTCAATTGGAAAAAACAGTATAACCTTATCTTTATTTTTCATCCATCCATCCATCCATCCTGGTCAAAGTCACTCTCATTTTATAATTTTTAAAACTCTGTGAACCTCCTCCTGTGATTAATTATAAGTGCCTCAAAACTGAATTGTCTATGAACACTCTGCAAGCGTCTCTTCAATTTACGCCGTGGAGTTAAAGGCCTTCATCTTAAAGTAGTAGTTAGATTTGCAATGACTGTGTTACTGTGAGATCACGTGCTTTTATAATCACTCTTCAGGTGCGTTGACTCAGGACTCAGCTTTGTTAGCATTTACTTCCATCACTGCTTTCTTCATCTGCTCTGATCAGCTTTAGCAATAACGTCTAGCAGAGCTCCACTGTAAGCCAGACTAATATGCTTCCTGGCACGGAAATATACCATTTCACCTTGGCCTGCCGTTGCATCAGGTTTCCACTAGGCCGTAGCTGTTGTTTTCATTGCAATCTATGACTGCGCTTGGGGGGGGGGGGGGGGGGGGGGGTTGCTACTAATCTAATTCCTTCATACAGAAGAAGTTATTCACTGAGGTATTTCAATGCGTCCAATTCATTCAGCTATATCTACATACTAAAAATCTCTTTCAGGCATAATAGACCTGTGTGTTATCTATAAATTGTAAATATCACAATTTTTCTACATTCCCCCTGCTGTACTGTATGTATCTCTTTTCCCAGGAATATCTTCTAGATTTGCGTAGATGGAAGCCTCATTCCAGTTTTACTCATTCCTATTAAAATTTTTTAAAGCAATATATAACTAGAGACATGTAATCTCTGAGCAGGCAGTCTAGATAAGACACTCAGATAAATTTCTCCCTTAAATGAGCTGTGGTGATATGTGCAATATGGAGGATTTGCTTGGTGGGGTTTCTGACTGACATGATGGTTTCTCGCCTGTAGCAGTGACCAGTGGGTAAACTTTGCATGATAAAGATTCTCTGTTCAGGTCTTGGCTTCAAATCATTCATCCTGGATGTAATGAGTGATGTTTTCTCTTTTTTTTTATCTGTGTGAATATTATTACCAAGAGAGGTAGGTCGTGGGGGCGGGCAGCTGCACTGTAAGCTAAAATCCTTAAAAACTGGTTCAGGCTCAGAGCATTGAAAGTTATCTCGCTTGAACGATCTATCTGGGTCCCAGACATTACAGCCATCTGAACCCAGCTTGACTCCTCATCTTCCGAATCTGCAGCAGCTGAAGGAATGATGGTTGCTGGAGATAACTGAACTTGATAAACATACTTAAAAAAATGTTAAGCCACCCTGTGGAATCTGGAATATGTTAATGGGATTATAGAAGCGTCACCGTGACACTGAGGAGCCACGTAAACCAGAGGTCAGAATGCTGTACGGCTGCAAGACTGAATCCAAGGTGGGCTGGGACTTTGTTATGGTGCCTGTTACACTGTCACACATCAATGGCTCCAAGAAGAGCCAGTTATATAAATACTTCTGCCAGGAGCTGAAACTTCACTATGTGCTTCAGCAGAGCTCACAAGGCTTTGGTGGAGAAAGATTAATTAGAGCTCTATTTTAAGGTGGGGAAATGCAGCCCAAACGATCGCAAGGTTTCTGTGGTGATGAGCAACATTCCTAATTAAACTGCTGCAGTTCACATTGCAGGTGTGTGGCTTTAACTGACAAAAGTTTGTAAGTGACTTTGGCTACCATTGCTAAGAGTATTTAGTGAATAAAATCATACATCCAATCATCAATCCATCCACCAATCCATCCATAAATTCATATATCCATCTGCCAGTCCATCCATCAATTTATACATTCATCCATCTATCTATCCATCCACCAGTTCATACACCAATCCATCCATCCATCAGTTCATCCATCGATCAATCGATCCATCCATCCATCCATGTCTATCCTAGGCAGTTCGGGTTTGGTGCCAGTCCTTTGCAGGGCTCACACAATCAATCATAAAAATGATCATTATTAACTAAAATCATTAGTATTTCACTCACAACATCTGTAGTGTGTTTCTCTGTAGTTCATGGATTATTGTTCACCTTTAAGACCGAGAAAACACGTGAGCATCATTTGTGTATGCAAACTTTTGTGCTTCGCTTCGTTGTTGGTACATTTTGCCTTGGCTTGCAGAAATGTGGGACTCGAGATAGACGGCCCCCAAGGAGCCTTCTGTTAAGTAAGTGCCATTACTCTTCGCAGTAGACCAAAGGATTTGTAGCCTCCCTAGACCTCAGACATGGATCCCTGTTGTCCACACGACTGTGCAACAGTTGAACAGAAATGTCACCGGATTTCTGGTGGCGCTTGTCACACAAAGACCTCAGGTCGTCCTTTTTTTCCACAGAGATCCGAAAAATCGACCACCGCTGCCGCCTCCTTTCCTCAAACTCCTGCCCGACCTGCTGACCCTCCTCCCCCCCTCCCCATTGTATTCTGCCCAGCACCCTTTAAATGTCACAGTTCAGGTGAGTAGGACGCTTTTCATGAAACTGCTGTCATTGTTGTTGCTGGTTAATGTGCACGGGGCTGTTGGCCGCGGGCTAAATCCTACACCGTCACCCACGGCTCTTCACATGCTTAGACACGGGTTGGAGCTTCATTTTTTTTCAATATCGGTAGGATAAGCGAGCAATTTCAGCAAAGCCTACAGCCGTGGGTGGTCAGCTCTGATTCCCAGACAAAGGTGACCTCTTCCTTGTCCGGCCAGCCATACAGCAAAGAGTGGGACGCTGCCTCTTTTGTGAGGCCAGCACTATTTACTGCCACTTATCAGTGAGCTTCTCTGTCTGACTTCTCCTTCGAGGACACGGTCTGTAGCCATCCGGGGTCTCCCAATGCACTTGCCTAGGTGTTTCCCATCTCTTGTTCTGTGTCCTGCAGAGCTTTGCGTGGCAGTGAGCGAGGGTGACATCACTGCAGCTGAGTCCCTTCATGCTTTGGATTTTATTTTATTTTTTTTCGACACCTTTTCAAAGCTACCTGCGTGCAGCTGGGGGGGCCTCAGCTGGGGGGGGCTGGCGCAGGCATCAGCAGCCCCTCACACTCTGTTTCCTCTCCCTCTCCTTCTTGTCACACCAGCACAGATATTGATCTGTTTCAGGAAGGCTGCTGCCTTGACGTGATATAATTGCCCTGTAACTATCTCCTCCAGCTCCCACCAAACAAATGGCAGCTTATTGTATTTGGGGGGTGGGCTTCCATGGCCGCATTAATTGTTTCATCAGTGAATGCACTTAATTAAAATCCTGGAGCCAAAATTGATAGTGATGCGACAGATAGAGTCCTTCTTTGCTGGGTTTGCTTCCTTATTTAATGGGTGCTAATCACTTTCATGTTCGCAAATTGTTAGTGTTAGTGTTGACACCAAAGCTGGATGTCTTATTGTACTTATTGGGTTGTAAAACGAACTGGCTGACAGCCCGTTGGCAGGATTAAACTTCCCGGAGGTTGTTCTGATGCTGTGAAAATGAGTCCTGTCGAGCGCAGAAATGGAATTAATACACAATGCAAGATATACTGCAGCTGTTTCCAGTACTATATAACAAACAAGTTCCATTGTCGCTATTTTATCAAGGGATGTTGAAAGGCTGTATGATGGCATGGAAGGGAATGCAACTATCCCGTTAATAAATTATAAGTGAACAAACCATTTGAGGTCATTAGTTCTTATACAATGAACTGGGCTACAAACAAAATGTAAATCAGGCAGTCAGACAGAAGCTGAAGCTCTCTTATTAAATCTTATTTTGTTTTATGGTTTTCTTCCTCTGATTCTGAATATGAAAGACATTATGTAACTTAGACTTTATCACCTCTATACTGTCAACGACTACAGTGAAAATCTAACTCATAGTCACTGATAAAATGAGGCACGTTAAAAGCCAGACACTGTGTTCAGTCTGGCTGTAAATTTGCAAAAAAGTCCATTTGATTAATGCATGCAATCAAAAGAGTTGTTTGTTTGCTATTACTGCAATATTTTCATATAAATAATGTATGTAAAACAAAATGATAATTGCTTAGATATGTGCATCAACGATAAGGACACACATTAAGGTAAACAATCGTAATGGGAAAGTATAAGCGTTATATATGTCTGTGTCTGTGTAGCGCACTACCAGGAGTGCAAATTTAGACAAACACTATTTTTTTTGTCTTTTTGCATATTTTTCATGAAATGAAGCAACAGCGGTAACACATTATTTTTATTTATTTCAATGGCAAGCTCCAAAGATCCTCAATGGGAAAATAATTGCCCCAAAACCACTTTGCAGAGGGTCACTGGGGAGGCAGTTTCCATTGAAACTGTACCCATGGGCAGTCGATTGTGATACATCTACCCAGATCAGCATAAAACTACTGAGCCCCCAGCTGCATAATAAAGGTCACGGGTCTTTGGTGCTGTCATTTTGGGGGTCGTGGGCTGAAAAGTTTGAGAGCCTTTGCATTAGTGAACGAGATGCATCACGAAAATGAAAAGCCACGACTTGTCTGCCAAGGTAACGGGACAGTGTGTGGCTCTGCATGTTAGGGCTCTGAGCCTGTGATCAAAAGGGTATTGGTTCAAATCCCTGGTGGAGTGATATCACTGCCAGGTCCTTGTGAAAGGCCTTTTATCCCAACCGCTCCAAAGTCATTGGCTAATGCTGTTCTCTGGTCACAAACTATGTCACTCAGAGGCAAAAACATTTGATAAATAAATGAAATGTTATTGATGATTTTCCCATAAGTGCCACAGACAAATTTCCTACATTTGTGGAATTACAAGTATGAACTACTCATTCATTGCATCAGCATCACCATTTCAGTGAACTTTAGGTTTAAAATTTGACCAGCTTGTTCGAAAACTTGAATTTAGCATGATATGGAATTCATCATCATTCATCTCTCAGGCCATTACCTTGCTGCATAATCTATCTGAACAATTCAGTTCCAGCCTGAATAACAGACACACACAAGCAAATAATTTACAGATTATCCTTCACTATTAAATATTTTTATAACAAAATCATTGACTGCAGAAGTGAAACTTTTAATTCAGTTAGCTATAACACTTATTCGACTGCCAAAATTGCAATCAAACATTTCCACTTGATTTGAAAGCTATCTAGCATGAACAGCCTGCTTTAGATCTTGGCACAAGATTAGTTCAGGTGAGGTTTACCTCACGACTAATTCCTTGGTAAATATGCTGGAATATTTGCACTATTTGTCGTGCTAGAACTGCATCTCCTCGACCAAGGGCCTGACATTCTCATATGGAATGTTTTGTTAAGACTATGAACGATTCCTTCAATGATGGTAAGTCATCCAGACTCATAGGCAAAAAAGCAACCCAAACCCCAACTCCCACAGCCCTGCTTGACATTTGCGGTGACTTATTTTAGTGAAGGACTGTATTAAGTTTTTTGGATTTTTTTGAGTTAGAGAAAAAGAAAGATCCTTTTCGGCTTATTTATAAAAGGAGAATTTGCTTCCAAAATATACAGCAGAAATATTCTTTTTGACAAGCATTTTTTTCTGGCTAATCTCCCATGATTCTCATTGCTATTCAATGTGAATCACACTGTTGAGGTATGAATATGGACGTTAGCTGAGAGGAGGGAGGTCTCCAGAACCCTGAATGTTGCCCTGCGGTTATTCTGGACATCATGTATGATTTTTCTTGCTGCCAAGTTATTTTGAAGGATATCATTCTGGCCATACAGATTCTCTGTTTGTAGACTTTCAGGGAACCAATCCAAAGGGTTTACAATAGTTTTACAACCATCTGCTGACTGATATGAATGTCCGGCGCTCCTCTTTAAGTCTTTGTACATATTTGTATGGTGTTTTATTCTAAGCCACACAGGTATGAACAAATAGGCCATATTTGTACCTTTATGTAACAAACGTCTACACAGGCTTCATCTTGGTTATTGGTTCTTTCTGGTTAACTTGGTACCTAGTTATTTCTATACAGCAGATTACCTCATTGACTGAGTTAACGAACCTTGCAGTTCTCTTGTCTTCTGTAGAGCTACTGATTCTTATTTCCCTATTTTTATTCTATTACATGCATCGGTTCCTGTAAACAACACATACAATTTGTGGGTATAAACCTTTCGTTTTTTTTTACATAAGTGAGGACAACTTTTGAATAAACAAGAGTGACCAATAAACCTTGTTTGGGTGGCAGTATGCCTTATAAGGTAGTAACGAGCGTTATTTATAATATATAATATAATCAGTACCTGTTATTTAATTTCTAATTGTAATATAAGACCATGCATGTGATCACATAGCTCTTTTTGTCACGGATATAAATGCGTTGAGGGAATGTACTGGATCTACTGCAACATTCAGTTTATTAAATACATTATAATGTTGTTGTTTTTTTGTTTGTTTTTTGCTAATTGCACACAAAACACAATGGGAAAGCAGTATGAATAACTCATATTGAATTACACAACCTGTGCAATTTGACCACAGAATTAAATGGATTATATCACTCGGTTCAGGAAGTAGAGACAGCAGAAAGTGCAGCATTAGTAAGAAAAGGTAAGTGACCGAGTGGGTGAGATAATGTACCTCTACAACAGACAGCTAGGCGATGAACAGTCCTTTGAGAATTAATTCAAAACAACAAAGCTACTGCTACGGGTAAACATCTATTTTTTCCAACGAAGAAAGAAACACATAACACACTTAACAGCATTTCTGTTAGTATCATTTCCATTTCTTCCATTTTTCAGGTCTCGTATACTTTGCCGTGATGCTATGCTAGATACAGACACTCCTCACTTAACGACCAAATTCCGTTCCTCTGACGAGGTCGTTAAGCGGATTGGTTGATAAGCAGGAGCCGCCCCTGACCAATATTTCAAGCATATGTGCTTGGATGTATTTTATTAAATGTATTTGATGTGTTGATCATCATATTGTTTTTATTTTAAAATGTTCTTCTTGTTCACACTGCTTATGTTTGTCTGTGTACAGGCTGGGTGTACTGAGTGCGTATTGATGCACACAGATGGAGCCCTGCTTGGTACTGATGCCAGTTACCTGGGAGCCTTTGATCATTGTCCCAGCCGGACCTGAGACGCTGTCCTCAGAGAGCTGTCAGGCACTGATGGTTCTGTGCCACCAACAGCCTCCATGTACGGTTGGCCTGCTATCGAGAAACTTAATCGATTCCCAGCCACATGAGGCCTCTGCTGAATTTATTAGTGCCTTTATAGGGTATGCTGTAAAGAAGAGAAAAAAACAGTATGTTTAAGTTTAACAAATTCCAACATTTAACCAAGGTATATTGAGACAAATATAAAGCAATGTTTTACATTTGTTCGACAGTTTGAATTTCTTTCTTTATACTTTTGTCTTTATATATTTTCATTTCAAAAGAAGGTAAATTCTGCATTATAAGCTGTCCATCATAGAAAGACAAAGGCAGAATCAAAAGTAGACTTTAATCACACAATAAGTTTTCCCAAAGTCAACCATGAACATAGAATTCAGAGACCAGAAATACCTGACTTTTGCTTTATATATCCCCTTTGATATCCCTTTGACTATAGGAAATGCAAGAAAAGCACAGATAATCCCTGTGTGTGCTTTGGATCCATGCAATCACACAATGCTAGGGAAGGAAAAAGAAGCACAAGAGAGGAGGTGAGATCAGATGAGAGGAGGACAAAAAGGACAAAACAAAGACAAGAGATAGGTAAATGATTAACACATATAATTGATGTATTATATCCATCCATCCTCTGGCCTCATATCCTGGGTCATGGGGTTGCCAGGAGCAGAAAAGGGTACAGGGTACAGCTGCAATGGAATGCCAATCCATAATACGTAATTCATGCATTACGTGCAAATATAATCAGACTTACGCAGTTCATATGCAGCACGTGGGGCTACATTAGCGGTCATGCGCACTCAGTGGCCTCCCTACCAGTCATACCCTGCAGCATTTGTCAGGTAAAAATAGTCAAACTGGGAGCGGGACTGGGTGCGTGTAGGGGTAAGTATGTTAGTGCTGGAAGGGATGAAAACTCCCGGCTGTGACTGAGCTAACATGATAGAAGGTGCGTGATCTCCATTGTGTTTTTATACGTGGTAAAGTACACCTTTTCCATTTTCACACCATATCTCTGCCACCCCATGATGCCTTAATGTATTTAAAATGACTTTTTGGTCTACTTAATTACACTATCGATTATCATTATTTGCTTAGATAGCTTAAGATCTCATCGTTCCCCTTGCTTTATGCAGTTGTCTGGCTTTATATTTAGCTAACATGTAAGCTGCAATGGCCTTGTTTTAGCAGCGTTTTGGGGGGAGGGCTTCCTGCAGTCTTGCTGTCCTTTGTAGGGATGCTGTCTGACTGTTACAGCTAAACCCCAATGCCCATCACGGGAGCTCCTTCCTCACATGAGTATGACATCATATTTGTCTCTGCTAAAGGCAGACATGGAACAAAAACAAGAATCGCCCACCTCACCTCTGCCTCTCTGGCCCTCCTCACACAAACACATGAGCAAATGAGTATTTCTCCAGAGCGATTTTTCCATTTCCATTGATGCAGAGAGCTGGATAAATGGTACTTTCTTTTTAAGGCGCCTGCCTTAAACTCTGCCCCGCATTACTTTTGACCAATTCAGTAGGGTTTTAATGTCATGCGTGATTAAATCTGATATTGCGTACGCGCAACTATAGGCGAATCTGTGTGACATAGCTGCGAGATTAGCCAGGAACCACGGCGGCAAAAGTCAATATTTAATGCCGTGTAAAATACCGGAGGTATGGAAAAGGGCTCCGTTGAAAATTAACTTTTCATCGTCACCCTGAAAAGAAAGCATCCGCTCTGTGGGCCTCTTTGTGTGGAATCCCGCCGCGCAACGCACTTTCCGACGCGCACACTTTCATTAGGGGGCTCATGGTGCGGGAGGTAGTCTTCGCGCAGTGTAAGATTAATGGTGGAATTCACAGGTCCCCCCATTATTTGGTCTGTCCATCAGTACCTCATTATGCACTCATCAATCACTGCTGCGAGGCGTATCACGGGACCAAAGGTGCGTCGTCTCACTGCGTGTGAACGGAACATGAGAAGATCACCGCTCCATTACCCGCCTCTCATTCCCTCCTCTCCTCCTCACCTCCTCCTTCTTTGTCCATCTCCCCCGATCACCTTTTCTCTCAACGCCACACTGACAGTCAAGGCGGCTCCTCCACCACATTTGCTACAGTTATGCATCTAGACCGACGCGTTTTTCTGCACAGGGATGAGCTGTATAGTAGCAGATTTCCTCTGGTACTAATTATAAAGGAATGCTATAATTTCTTTCCACCGTTCCTCCTGCCGTCACCGCTAGGGACCAAAAAAAGGAGGTCTCTGCCTCTGAAGACTTGACGAAAGAATAAAATGAATGTGCTTGTCTCCGTGAGGTAATTTATGACTCCCCGCAGCTGTGTAAATAGGATAATGGCGGACGTCAACCCTCTCTTTCTTTCTCACGTTGGGTAAGATTTGTTTTTGGGGCTGCAGGGATAAAAAGTTGAGCGGCGAGATAATGCGCATTTGGTAAATAATTCAAAGGGACATTGATGTGCGGAGTGTGTTTATTTGCGAATGAATGACTGGTCGCCATGTGGAGGTCATGGAGCCTCAATGGCGTCATGTGTCAGAGACCCTTCGCACTTCCTCCAAACATTCTGAGAAACACATGGTCTGGCCACCCCAGCATTATGCACGAGCATCTTACCGTTTCATGTAAAACATTACATCACCGGTAGCTGCACTCTAGTTGATTATAGTGCACCTTTGTGCATTTGCATGTATTTGGCAATCGGTGCACCTTTGTGCATTTGCATGTATTTGGGAATCGGTGCACCGTTGTGCATTTGCATGTATTTGCCGATCGGTGCACCTTTATGCATTTGCATGTATTTGTGAATCGGTGCACCGTTGTGCATTTGCATGTATTTGGGGATCGGTGCACCTTTGTGCATTTACATGTATTTATATGGCAATCTGTGCACCTTTGTGCATTTACATGTATTCGGAAATCGGTGCACCTTTGTGCATTTATTTGGCAGATGCTTTTCTGTGAAATGGCACCCAGGTTAATGCTCAAATAACAGCTTTAGGCAACAAAACTCAGCACTGACATGATCATATCATCAGTAAGCATAGCATTTTCTGTGCAGCTCTGCCAATTATGGGAAATACTAAAATATTATTCCATAATGAATAATAACATGCTGTTCATAATAGTGCAAACACTGTACATGCAAGTGCTCCATGACACAGACATGTGGGGTCGTCATAATGGGGACACTGTTCCACAGATTTTGGAAAAACCAACAAACTGTGATACATAGAGACAGAAACTAAGAAATATATGGAGCATATCAGTGCAAACATTGATGGTCTCCTGAGACCCCCTCCGACAAAGGTGACCCCCTCCCCCCCCCCCAACCACGATTGTCAAAACATAACAAACCAATTAAAACCTAGTGCAGCAGCTTAATGTACAACAGACTGGACCCTAAGTTGTAAGGTACACCTAGATTCGGGGATCTCGGGAACAGCCGTTCCAACTGGGAATTCCCAAGCAATACAGTACCTGGAGTTTACAGAGAATGGTATGATGAAAATAAAACACACAGTCAGCAGCATTTCTGGGCTGAAAACACCATGTTAATGAGAGAGGTTAGAGGAGAATGGCCAGCCTTGCTAAAGGGAAGGTCACACGTGCAACAATAACAGCTCCGTACAACCGTGGTATGCAGAAAGGCATCTCGAACACGGGCCCCTGAAGTGGTTCTGGAGGCAAAGATGAGCCCTAATCGGTACTAGCTATGTGTACCAAACGAAGTGGCCAGTAGGTATAGAGAATCAAAGTCAATATCCAAAGTATGATATACTGTACAGCACACCAAACTCAAAATATTCTATGTACCATAAAGCTTTACATTGAATTTATACTTTTCAACGGGAGCTTTGCACAGGTGTTGCTCAGACATGTGTCTATGCTGTCAGTGCTGGGCTTCATACTTGCTGTTGCTTTATTTCCAGCCACTTGCTTCATGGGGGTCAGAAGAAATGAACTCTGTCAACTCAATGCTGATAAAAGGCCACGAACAAGTAGCTATTTCCTGAAATAATACAGTGGAAAAAAAGTATCAAGTGCTAACTAACAACTGAAAAGATGGACACACCAATGGAAAAGAGTCACTAAAGGGTTGTTACCTAGGAAACGCCAGTATCAGCTTCCAGCAAAAGAAAAAGAAAAAAAACATGGGCCACATCTAATACCACATCTAATACCACATCTCGATGTACCCACATTGCATTCCATTGCTTATTGCCAGCACAGTCCTCAGCATAAAGTGCACTGGCAAAGGAAAGAGTTTTCAAAGCAAAGGCTTATTTTGGGACACTGCGTTGTCATCATGGGGCCTCGTCATGACTGTTTGAATAAGTTACTAAAACAACACGAGGGAAGTCATTTTTCTGTCTAGTGTGGCATGAGAAATGCGCAGCTTTCGGGATCTGGCTTGAAACAACAGCTCAGTTCTCACATTTATATATGAGCATGGCTTTATTTATGAACATCAAGAGTGCAAGTTCAATAAAACGCTGCCAGCAGCCAGGTGAAAAGGACAGAGAGTGTATCACTGATATCCATAACTTACAGGGGCAGCTTTGCCAAACCGCTTCACAGCTCGTTCCCAAAAGAAACACGGGCAGCGAAGTAAAAACAGCGAGAGCGCTGAGTGGGCCAAATAATGCAGACTTTTTTTAATACTGAGGAGCGGTAAGAAGAAAGCCAGGCTAACACCAGTTACAAGCTCAACAAAACCACAAGCTCTTAAGACAACTGCGCAGTATTTAAGGAACCCCAACAGCTGTAAACAGAATCCAAAATAATGCTTCCCATTCACACCATATGCAAGAACCATCTGATGGCAAACACCATTGTCACAGTCTGAGGGAATGACGGAGCTGGAGAAGATAAAGAAGGAAGGAAGCTTCTGGGGCCCCAGTAATGAGGCAAACGAGTGGTGCGCAAGGATGGCAGTGCTGGTCCCTCAATGGTGGCATCTGTTAGGAGGAATTACAGGGACCCTGCTGTGAATGAAATAGTATCTCCAAGTCGGTGAAAGATGTAATAACAAACATGAACAAGGGAAATCAAGATTCCACTGAAAAAGATTTTTATTATTGAAAGTCCTGTCACATTTAGCGCACTTCAAAGAAAAGAAAAAAAACCTTCATTTGCTCGTTGGGCGGGAGGCCACAGTGTCAGAGAGTTAAAATCTTGGTGCCTGGAGGACATAAGAAAACACAACAGAAGATTACACAAAATAAATGGAGGTATGTGGGCAACCTGGAGTACATTGTAAACAACAAGGGTTAATGTTCTTTGGAGCAGGTCTTTTTTCTTATTAGAGGATGAAGCTCTGAGGCTTCTACAGAGCCGGATGCCACAAACATGTGTGATATGCTTGTATTCAAGCCTTAGTCTTTACACTAAACTATTCGCAGACCTGCGGAGGGGTTAGCACATGTGAATGCAGGAAGAAAATGTTTTTTAAATGAGCAGAATTCCCTCGTTTACCTCTCTGTCTCAG